CGTGCATTATAACGAGCTACTTTACCATCAGCTAATAAATTAGGTATTAAACCATGACGAAGACATCCACCATAAGATAATATTAAATAACGAGCTTCTTCGTATCGACCAGTTAATAAAAGAAGACCACGTAATGATATAAATGTATCTCTACCCCAGTTTCTCCATATTCCAGAAGCAAAATGTGGAAAACCAGCGGCTAATGATGGACATAATTGAATACGTTCAAGTGTTTGTTCTTCTTTTTCTTCTGATGGACGTGGTTCACGTAAATTTGGTGATAACAATAGTAAACGTGCGCGTGTCGTCCAATGTTTATTTGAGGAGAGACGGAAAAATTGACTTATTGAAAACTTAATTATTTTCAGTAGATAAATAGCTCGCGCTGCAGATGTTGGTTTCCAAAAGACCAGATTGGTTGAAAGAGAAATTTAGATCGAATTTAGCAATGAATGAATCATAGGTACCTACGCAAAAACCAGAATAAGCGTACGTTGCTGGAGTACAACTATCCAGTGATTCGAATACTCTATAACCACTGATTTCTGATTGATTTCGCTACTCTTCATCGAATCACACACCCAATCAACCATGGAGAAAACGATCACGCTACAATATATCGCTCAGTATTCCCAGATATCTATTATTAATTAAACTTCGTTCAAATTAGTATTTTATAATAGGACAAGCATTTGTGAGATAAAGAAAATATCGATCGAAAAAAGATTAAAAAAAATGAAATAGCGAAATAAGTTATGATATTGTAATGAAAACGATTCATTACTTTTTTTCTACTCTATCAAATGAAATCGATGACCAGACTATGCTAAAAATAGAAAAAAGTGATCAAATGCACAGCTGTTTACTAGAAAGTAATGGAGGCAAGAAATTTTATTTTTTCAATAATCTTCATTCAAAATATTCTAAGCAAAATCAGATTCTAGATAGCTAACCCTTTCAGCCCTGTATGTCATCTATGTGATGGTTTGCAGAATGAAAAAAGCTATTTTTTTTCCTTTTCTTTTGTCATCTCAGACAACGAATATCATGTGCTGAAAGAAAAATCATCACTTTGTATGGTTATGAATAACGAATCCACATTTCGAACACATGATTGTGATAGATCAATGCAAGAAACTGTTGGAATTGAAGGGCTAAACAGTGATATACATAAAATAAATACATTGTTTCGTTTCTTTGTCTGTAGAAAAATAACCTAGTCTAATCAAAAGAAAAATTTCGTTTAAGTCACATCGAAGAAAATATGCAGAAAGAAAACATTTCTTTTTCGATACCACGCTGTTCCAGTAGAGAAAGAAAAGTAAAGAAACGAAATGAAATGTTCGCCACTACTAACTATCTCGTATTCAAGCCTACATCGAATTCTTAAAATGACGTTCGTTAAAGGAATAAAATTTCTTCTTTGTCGCTTTAGTTTGGTGGTTTTATGTGTATTTTCACCATTTCTAATATTTCTGGCACAAATATCACGTGCCTTCGTTGAACAAGAATCAGAAACATATGTCAACGTTACACGTGATGTTCAAGCTGTCTTTGCATTTGTCATGCTTATAGTTGGAGTTTGTATCAAAGATTCAGATTACAGGGTTTTCAATAAGCCCATATCATGCTAATCCTTAACATGACGACTGGTGCTCTTGGCTTACTTTTAGCAATGACCACTACTAAAAAATATATGAACACAAGCATTTTTTATTTAGTTGAAGTTCTTTTTTCATTTGTATGTTTCTTATTTCTATTGTTAAGTTGGTGTTGGTATTTTGATACTAAAGAATTGAAAACGAAAATACAATAAAAGTAAAACATACGGATTATGATATTTGGTTTCCTATCCTTGATTCTGAACGAGAAGCATGAAAGCATTATGTCATTTGCATCTATCTGAATATGATTATACACAAGCAGCATCTTGCATTAAAGAATTTCTTTGAAATAATTTAGATTATTATTTAAATCATAAATACCATAAAAGTTATTGTCGTTAACAAGGTGATTGTGATAAAGCTTGAGCTCATATTGTTTCAGTAATATTAAATTTAATCTGAATAATACATGTGTCACAGTTGACATGAGAATTTCAGTTGAGATAGGAATGCGCGAAAAACAAATATTTGTTGAAAAAAATATATTTTTCTTTTTTTTGCTGGTGTTGTATCCAATTTTAAATAAATTATTTTATAATTTATCTATTTATGAAAATTGAAAAAAATGATTACCTTGCTTTTTTTATATATCAATACAAAACTAACAGATAGTATTGATTTTATTCAAATTCTACTCATATGAGTCGTACTATAAATAATCTTATCTTTATTAATCATTTGATGCTATTGTGAGAATGATTGATAGATATTTTTTATATTTTAATTATAAAATTTTTTTATTCTTTAAATTGTTTTTTAAATTTCTTATCATTTCGATATAAATTTAACAAATCACTCCAAATCCTTGTTGTTACATTGATAGAAAGATTCTCTTGAAATTTAATATGGTGATGCCAGAAAAAAATTTCAGGTAAATTCAATATCTCCATCATTTAAAAAATATAATTCATTCAACAAAAATAATCTAGAATCGATTCACCCAAATTTTTAATCTTTCTATGTGCTCTTCAACCAAAAAATGATCAGTAGTATAAAAAAATTCATTGTAACAATTCAAACGAGTGATTATTAATATAGTTATTTCTAAATTCATATCTTTTAAAAAACCTTCTAACTTCTAACTGAAATAAAAGCTATTCCTATCTCAACTGAATTCCAAAGTTGCATGTCCCATATGCATTGTATGAAATAGTCTTAATATTACCACGTATGAAATCATGAACTACAATTGAGAACTATTATCCATGAATTATGAAATTAATCGAACAATTATAACAAGAAACGATGTGACCATCTGATTATTGGTGAACCATGACAAAGTTCAATATTATTGTGAACTGTTAATATTTTCCACTAAGACTCTTGCTTCCGGTGATTTTTTTTTGATTTAGAAAATAAATATTTTATCTCGTAATGAAGACTTATGTTTGACATGAGCTACAAATGCATTCACGTAGTTATAAATACAATATTTTTAAAATAATTTGCTTTATTCGCGGCTGATGCTGGGATTCTAAGATTGAGATGATGCATGGAGATATCATAATGCAACAAATGATAAGTTTGAAATTGATGGGATAGTTTAATCAAACAGACTTGCGTCATATTTAGAATAACTGTTAAAAGAATGAGCTGTCGTTCCATCTCTAAGTTAGCAAAATTTTCAAAATAAAAAACAAAAATCTAAATTTAAAAAGATATGCAGTGTTCTAGCGGTCAGTCGCTTCAGAGTGATTTTATTTTTACTCTAAGATGCATCAAAGTCTTCGTTTGACGAAATAATAGCTTTCATAAAAAGTTTTGTGAAGTTTTCTATATCTACTATTGCCATATACCTTGGAATGAATGTTCAGTTTTTAAGCTTGAAAGAATAAAATGGTTAATCTTATTCGAAAAAACTTTTTCATGTTCTTTCTCGAGATATTATATTTGTTCCAAATGATGATAGGGTGAGATCACAATTTGTTAACCAAAACAAAAATAGTCTAAAACATGTGCGTTTGTTTTATATCCCATTGTTAGAAGAGAAGCTTTCCTTGTCGCAAAAATCTTCAATTTATTACATTTATAATACATACGCTATTGTTAAACTAAGAAAAAGTACTCTCGTAAATGAAACATTCTATTACGGCTGATTTCAAGAAGGTTTCGATAATCTATGTACAGGCTTGACAGATGCAAATTTGACACCGAGGAAAAAAGAAAAACAAAGACATATAAAAAAACCAACTAGTTGTACCATGAACATTGATATGTATCGTAAATCATAAAGAATTTCGATCGGTCGACATGCAGTAGCAGTAATCATTTGATTGCATACAGACGAGCCAACAAGAAAAATGAGCATCTCTCGATACCAGCAGAACCATCGATAAGGATTCTCAAGATATTTAGCAGAAACATTGTTAAATGCTGACTGCATCAAAGCAATTAAGATAAAAGAGCCGAAACACAGAGTGATGTTGATAATATTCATATGTATGTAACTACGAATGTTGTTGGTAGGAATTGTTAATGATAATGAACATCGTTCTATAAATAAACAGATGCTAGTACAGAAATTAGATACAAATATTTATTAACAGTAGTGAAATATTTGCTGAAGTTATTTCATCAGCTAGGGAGTGACTGATCATATGCTCTTTTTCTGTAAAAACAAATATTTACTTGCAAAGGCCCATTCATAAGGCGTATACATTGTTGAGGAGCCATTAACTGCAGAAAATGATGATTTGGCAATTTTTAACGAAGTTGTGCGTATTACTTGTGGCCATAAACCAAAGCTAATACATGACAATAATATTATAAAATATATAAATTGTAACCGAGTACACCAAGTGAACAAAAGACTCGTTCTTGTTCTCAATCTAAAGTTAAATCTGCAAATAATTATGTAGTCTAAAAAAATATTTTATAACGGAATTGACGAATAGAAAAGGTCCAGTTCAGCTCTGAGAATTCGGTTTACCTAGTCCGGTATCGGGTCTACCCGACAGTTGCTATTCTGATAGTAACAGTTAAGTATGTCCGAATTCCCAAGTCCTTACCATGAATGTCGTCGAGAAATTTTTAATGTACATTAATAGCAGAATCTCAGTACACAAAACTATCATGTATTTTCGAAGCGACTCTTCGCACATAATTTTGATAAATACAATCAACTGGATCCAGATTCAAAGTTTTTGACTCGAAAGGCTCTATTCAGGATGAAAAATTCACGAGCGTTCAATTGCTTTTTGACCAAGCCTATGTTCAAATGGCAAGTGATGATGAATAATATTTAACGCATAAACAAGTGGAGTCGTCTGGGTTAGTGTTGTTCAGATCACGAATTTTTCAATACAAAACCGTCATTATCCTGCAAAATAGAATTTCGACTTGAAATTTTACATCAATGAAGCTCTTGATGAAGTTAGTTTACTAGAAAAGTTTTACTAATTTTTGTACATTCGATTCCAAGATATAGACACACGAGCAATGATCATCATATATTCGCTCACGGGTTAAAACAAATGGCGGAGTGTGCTACGAAACGCTGTTCGACTACTTGAGGACAGTTTTCCCTGCATTTTCACTGAAACAATGGTATCTGCGAAACATGTTGAGTGGACTCGGATGAACCTATTTTTCAATGTTTGTAAAATGTGTAACAGGTGCTAAACGCATTAAATCAGTCCGCAAAAACGTGTTTTTCTCTCATGGGCGGGAAAATTTTCGATGCTTATATTCAAAGTTTGAGAGTGAAAAAGTCGTTAGAACCTTAACACTGAACTATTATCATTGATAGATTTGCTGGTGCCAAGTTTTAAGTCGAAATTTGATTTTCAAGGTAACTAAGGATTTTCGTTGAAAAGTTCAGTGTATCCAATGCAAGGTATTAGTCAACTAAATTGTTTGGAACTTTGATGCTACACTCACCATGGCCTATCATATGAATATAAAATTAGTGAAACAGTGATCGAATACTGAATCCATATACTGAGTGTTGCAAAAGTTTTGCGACATTTATTGTTTTGCATACATCTCTTTTCGGGAACATGAAAAATCGTCAATCTTTCTTTCAAAAGATGCGCCATCGAATTCTCTACAAACTTCTGTTTGTCTTAGTTGAGAACAATATAACTGAACCTTTTTATAGTTCGCATAGTATGATTATGTGAAATGATCCTGTGTCACACATTGTTCAGTAATTTATTCTTTTCGTGAACGTTAATATTCAATTTTCAAAACATTTTATAATGGTACACAGCTCTCAAAAATTCTCTGTCGGTTGCTTACATATATCCAATTTTTTATGCTTATTCCTTCGGTTCGACGCATGCTCATATTTTGACAATAGCGTGATTTTCATGTCTGCTTTCTGTTTCAAAGAAAGCAATTTAGAAATGCCATGCGGCACGAAAACTTTTTCATTTTGGCAGTACTTTATAGAAAATTAATTTTTCTTTCTGTGTGCAGTCCAAATAACGCGTAAAAACAGTACAAATGACATCAAGGCCGTTTTTGTTGTGGCAGCTCAGGCAGATCATAGTTCTTAGAAAAATATAGGTGCGATCAAACATTTACAAATATTTCTAAAAGAGCATTCCATACACACTCCAACTACAATAACATTCTCGTATGTGTTTTTAACGCGGAAAAAAACGTTCGAAAAACAGAAAAAACATGTGAGACATAGTATGATTTCACATAAACATACTATGCGACTTATAAAAAGGTTCAGCTATATTATTCTCAACTAAGACAAATAGAAGTTTGTAGAGAATTCGACGGCGCATCTTTTCAAAGAAAGATTGACGTTTTTTCATGTTCCCGAAAAGAGATGTATGCAAAACAAAAAATGTCGCAAAACTTTTGCAACACTCGGTATATATAATATTCTGTTGTTGGTCGATCCTAAAAAGTTCTTTCAGCTCAATTAAAGTGAGCTTTTCTGATGAATTCTATCTAGTCTATGTCAAAACAAGTTACATAATTAAGTTTAGCAGTTTTTCACTTTCATTTGAAATACTTAACAGAAAATAATAGAAGCACTTTTATGCCTTGTAGACAGACAGAAGAGTAAATTAACATAGATTTAACATAATATAATAAAGCTGCCATCTAGCAGATAAAATATGAAGTACTATAAAAGAAAATTGGCATGTCGACTTCGAAATATTTTCAAAGATTAATCCGAAATCAAATATGTAATGTTACAGAATAAAATGACGATCTATGGGAATTGATTACATAAATGTTAAATACAAAAATCATCCTATATTATTTTCTAATCAAAGACTAGCTTTTTTTAAAATTGTAACAAATTATTTATTTTTCGACAAGAAATAAATGTATGCAAATAATTGGTAAATGAAGATACTGCCAAAAAGAATTTAAAAAATTATTTCGATTCAATAATGCTACACAGACATTTTTCAACTCTAGCAATTATTCTGGTAGCGTTAATTAGAACTTACTGATATAAGGAGAAATTTGATAATCACACTTAAATGCTCAATGCTTCTTTAAGCTTGGTGGAAATCAGAATAGTCAACAACAAAAAAACATGGAAAAGGTTTCATTTTCACCTTAGCGTTCGCCTTTTATGAATATTTAAATAAGAATCATGCCCGAAGTGATTATGAAAATTGAATACAGAGCTGCATGTCATTGATGAATGCTGGTGTCGAACAGGATGTGACAGAACTGTTGCCATGCTAATTCCACTAAAAAAACAACGGCCATAGAAAATAATGCCTTCTGAAAAGTATTTTTTAACATAAACATGAAAAACTTTTTGTAAAATGATGCATTTTATCTTCAGATAAACAATCATACTTTTTTTCTCATCAGTAGATTAAAACATAATCGCAATATTTTCTTTTTATAAATATTTTCGATCATCTTGCCAAGTTGAAAGTATAGTTCATCAAGATTGTCTCATCATACTAAAATCTTTTATTATAGATAGAAAAATTCTGTTCTTAAACCAAAATATTAAAACAAATAAAATTCTTATTTTTTTCAGTTATACTGACTCTGAAATGTCACAAATATTAGATAATGGCAACATGAAGAAAAATGAAAAGGTTAAGATTTTTTTTACTTCCTTCTCTTCTTCTTTCGACTATATAGCTATTATCAAGGGAAACAATTGTACAGATTACTTATTACAGTACTTACGTATTTGAAACTGTTATTAGATACTGTAGTCTATGTATCAAATAAATGGAATTGAACAAATGTTTAAGGAATATTTATTAACAATCTAGATGAACAATGTATGATTGATCGATCGTTCAGTAGTCGTCCGCCAACGGAAAAAAGAATCGAAGAAAATGCATATCGGTCAAATGGAAAAAAAAATTCATATATCGAAAGTGTGGAGATGAATCGTTTGCTGCGGTGAGTAGACAATAATTATTGACCTGTTTCATTGCTACGTTTAAAACTTTTGATGCATTTTTTATTTTAATGTTTTCTATGAATAAAAATAATGCGATATTATTATATGTTGACTTGTAGATCATCACACAATGATTGAAAGAGTTCTTCTTTATTACGTATTTCTATAATAGTTTTATATATGATTTAAACATTATTCGTCCTATATTCATCAGAGAAAACCCTCTATCACCGAATAAACTGTATACTAGATGAGTACTCATTTCATAGAAAATGTCTACCTATAGACTTTCCCCTAGTGTTTTTATTTCTTTGAAAAACAAATTTCGAATGAAAAAGTTGAAATATAAATTACTTATTCGAAACGCTATGACTCACTTGAATAGACTAATTTTTATTGAAGAAAGTAGCAAAACGATGATGCAAAAGTTCTGCATTCATTTTGTTCTTAATATATTCGTGTGACTGGATATCCTAGAGACTTTACGTTTTTTTTTTGGTTAAAAAGAGAAAAATGTTTGGTGCAAAAGTACATCAAAGAATTTGACTAGAAAATGTTTCTCAAATACTATACAAATTTTAAAACAAAATGCTTTGAAAAACTATAACGCAACTTTGGTCAGAATTTGTATTCAAATGTATTTCTTTGAGCTTTACTATTATCCATTTTTGGTGCTTGCAAGCACATTACATATACAACTATTAATTACAATGAAAGCTTTCGTGTAATATTAACAAAATTGATCTAACAAACACGAAGCTGAATAGTAGGAATGGTGAAGTTATTCCAGTTGGAAATATTATTTCTTTTACTGGATAAGATAGTATCCAATAACTCGTGCAAGAAAAATACTCGAGAGAGAATAGGAGAAAAAACTATTTTTGAATAAAAACGAAAAAAGAATAGGAAAATAAAAACATCAAAGATGCATAACAACTGGTCATAACACTTGGTCAAACCTCTATCTTATTGCAAATAATATTGTTTGGCAAATGAATCAATTATCTTTGCTTTTCATATTAAAATTTATTGCTTCTGGCAATTTCTCTCTCTCGAAATGAATTTTATTCTTTTAACTGTAATCGACAATGATGAAAAACGTTCGCATTAGGAAATTTCATAAAATCGTCTATTTTGACAGTTATGAAGCAAGTAGAGAATTTCTTTTTTTTTCTGCTTTGATAGGACTAAATTCGTACATTGTACAACTGGAGTAAGACGCATAAATACGCAATCTACCTGATTAGATGAAAACGTTTATAAGTTCGAAAAAGCTGCGGAAGTTTTCCGAAGCTATTTATTTTCAAGTTTTATACTCTTTGAGGAAAAACATTCAATTCAATTCTTTCACGAATTTTTGCACTAGATACGTCGCTGTTTCTAACAAAAAAGTAGTCTCTAGGATATTTTATGACACCTATAATAAAAACAACCAATACCGAACTTTTTCACTGCCCATTAATATTCTATCCTTCGAATATATTATAAACTGAGTCCGTTAATATTGATCCTTCTAGTTCATCTTAATAATTTTGATTTTAATAAGAACATTATTTCAACTTATCCTGTAACAGATTAATTTACAGTTAAAACGCCAAAATGCATGGTTATAGAACTGAGAGTAGAAAAATGATAGATGTAGATGACTGGAAGATGCACAAGTTTTTGACTATTTCTCTTCTATATGAATGTTTTCTTGTGTAATATATTCGTTATGTATATATCTTACAGAGTTCTCTGATAGTTTTTTAGCAGAATCATTTAGAATAAGATGCACAGAAAATACTGCTCAAATGATAAATTGTCCTGCATGGCTAAGCGTCAGCAAAAAATTTCTTTCATAAAAGTGTACTTTTTCTTTCTGATAGAAAATAATGACCGATTCACCACGATTAATATTCCAATCTTATTCTCAATTTTTGAAGTATATAACATTCACTCGTATTTTTCGGTTTTGATTTTCATGTCAATGAATCAAAAACTTAATTTTCTAAAGAAAATTGTCGAATAAAAGCGAAGTAAGCGATATAAACATATTCTCCTTCATACAAATGCAAAATTTTAAAAAAATTCATAAGAAAAGTTTTAGATACAGATTCGATGAAATTTGAAATAAACAATAATATTTAACACAGCATTTTATATTATTCAATATGAATTAAAAAGTTATGGAAAATATATGTGAGAGAAAAACCTATCAAATATTGAAAAAGCGATGAATTCTAATTCGATACATTTGAAGTTTTATTTTAGATTAATTAATAATAGTTTAAGTTTTTCAATTGTTTAAAGGAAGACATAAGACGGTTGTGTTCTTCAGAGTTTAATTACACTGCCAATGGTATAAGAATCAAAATTTTATCTAATGAATTTAATTTGTCGTAAGAGAATCTTTCATGATCTAAATAAAAATATTTCGAGATCTTAGTTTGTTATTTACTTTGTCGTAAACAAAATATTCAAAACGATGCTCTATAAGATCATCAATATGTATAAAGCAAAAGACTCTTTATCTTTTACTGTACAATTGTTAGCTTTAAACATCAAACTCTATCGATATAAATCAACTCTAAAATTTGAACGAGTTCTCATTTCTTTAAAGTCCAATAATGAAAGTGTAGATGTTATTGTACGTGAATGTGATTGCGAGTGAAGAAAAGTCTAACAGTCATATCTAGAGGTGTAAGCCGTATGGCTGAGTCGCCATCGCCACCGATTTTTCCCAAAAAATGGCAGCCGTCGCCGCCGAAATCGAAATGCGAAAATCACTTTATTATTTAAATTTATTAATTTTTGAATCTCGAAATTTCTTAACTTTTTCTGTTATTCATATGTAAGAAACATTAATAATATGTATTTGCAACAATAGGTGTAAAACACTTATTAATGTTAGTGGTTTCAGTTTAATGTTTATTTGAATCTATGACTCGATATAACGAGGTTGCATAATTTTCATCAAAATTGTTTTACTCTAATAAAGCCACTGAATGTACTTAATCTCTAATCGATAGTTTTTAACATGTTACCTGTGCCTCATGCACCACTGCAAACGTTACGTCTTTTTAGACTGAGGATAAACTATCATATATTTCAGATTTTCACTTATCAATTTAAAATTTACAATAAGCTCATTAAATATATAATATTTCATTCGCTCTTTGGTAAATGTGACGCACATAGCAAAAATCCCTTATTGCCAATGCATAAAGTGATAGAAACTAAGCAAACTAAACCATCCAATTATTATATACCCTCCTTTCTTCTTTAAGTCACAATACAACAAGAGCAACAGCATTAAAACAGCAGCTCTGGCATGGATCAAAAGTAATTTTTTGTAGGGATATTCTTTCAAGCTCTATCATTAAACACTGAAGCGGGCAAGTTTTTTGACATATCGATATACATCAATTAAGTCTGTATTTCCTTCAAATCACTAGATCTTTTAACTTCTGGCAAAGATGAATAGTAATTCATTACTCGTCTCCATATTCTGTACATATAATGTCTTGATTTAAGTAACGTTCGAAGTAAAATTATTTTATTTAGCTTTTTAAAATTATCAGCAATAAAATATTGTAATAGTCAGGTTTTTCTTATCATTTAAAGAATTATTCAATTCCGAAATTTTCCGCCGCCCGCGCCGTGAGCATAAAAAAAGTTTTCACAGCCGTCGCCGTTATCGTCGATCGATCCACCGGCTTCCACCTCTAATCATGTCAATCTTCAAGATAGAAGAAGTTGATTGAATACATTTAACAAAAATATTCAATTGTAAGAAATTTCAAAACAGAAATAGATTCTTTCTATTATTTGTTGAATGATATTTAAAACTAATCAATTTTGAATCTATATTGAACTAGACTTGACTCATTCAAAAAAAAACAAGTACAGAAACGTTTATCAATGGAAAAGCAAAAATAAAGTACATTTTCAATGACTTTCATGTTCAATTTTTTTTAGTATTGCATTGAAACAACTCGATCGACTAATGATATTAATTCATAATTTAGACATTTTCTTGCTTCTTTTAAATATAAATTTATTTGTTTTGTTCTCAATAAAATTTAATACATAATCGATACCTATGATTCATTTGTGAAATAACTATAAAATGACTATGCTAATTACTTTTATTTACTAATTAATGAAAATAAAACGGAAAGACTAATATTTATTATTACTAAATGACTAATAAAATGGTGGGAAAATAATATAAATAATTGTCATTCTAAAAAAGAATAAATATTATTTTATGATCGAATAAGATCATAGAGTGCTTCAACAAGTGTTGCTGAAGACCAAGCTTGTACTGAACATGAATATGAACATAAACGTCCATCATCGTTTGTCAATTCAGGTAAACCATTCCAATCATTTGAATTTAATAAATCCATATGTAATGATAAAATTTTACGAATATGTTTTATTGTTTGTTTATAAATTAATGGATCATTTTGTTGTTTCGACCAATAAAGTTTAGCTCTTAAATAATAACCCGTTAACCATAACCATTCAGGACCATTATGGTAATTAAAACCATGTGCTCGCTTATAATCATGAGAATCATCATCATTTACATAATCACCAACATAATTATAATCACTTGTTAAAAGATATTTATTCATTAAGAAAATTAGTTATTTATTTTATTTACCTTGGATCAAGAGTTTTTATGCCATATTTACCAAGAAGAATTGTTTCAACTTGTTTTAATGCTAACCATATAATAGTTTTATTGAACATTTCTCGAGCCTTT